CTTTTTTTGGTACTGGGAATTGAGTGACATGTTCTTGATGTGACACTATTGAGAAATGTGCAGAGCAGCTTAGCAAAGTTTATATTTTTGTGAGTGTACATAACTCATTTGTTTGTGGAACCCTCCTGGTAAGAGTTTGGATGTGTAGAAGGCCCAGAAAGGTATTGGAGTTGATTGCACATGGGATACTTGGAGCAGTTAAGTAAACACTACATCAAACCAAGTTGTCCATATCTTGATTTAGAGGGAAATGATTCAGAACATACTTGCTCTGATTCTACAAATGCATGATATGAAACTTTATACCTATTTAAGTGAACAAGGGTTATAAGGAAGACCAGATTCCTTTGGCAATGGGACTACAGGTCATTTCTATGGTCAAGCCCTAAGCCATGACCCGGGGAAGTTATCTTTCTTTGATCTTAGTCCTGGTCAGCATGAGTTCTCACCTGTACAGACCCTTGTGTGCTCACTTGCACCCTAGACCAGCACTGGCCACTGTTGGAGTTTTCATGCTCCTGCTCTGGGTTGATGGAGACCGAGTTGCCACATGGTGTGCTGATGATCTGCACAGAGCTCTGCCAAGAGAGTACCTGACATTTGAGCCACAAGTTATCATTCACTCCTCCTGGCCATCCCCACACAGCGCCCTCATAGAAAAATCTCTCCACGTTAGGCGGCATAGGGCGGTATATGTATAATCTTGAGACAGAGAGGTGCGAGAGGACAGCTTGAATCAGTTGATTAACCTCCCATCAGATAAACTGATCCCCAATAATCCCGTAACTATAGACCTTCGATGCCTGTCATACTTCCAACCATGAAGTAGGAAATAGGAAGTGGACAGGTCAAAGTTGGGACACTTTAAATCTCCCCCTGTTTGGGTCAACCCCTGCACATCCCCCCAAATCCATTGGTGAATGACTGCCCTTAAGAGGCTGGCATTGGCATGGGGTTATCTCTCTTACTTGTCGGCTCCTCCTGAACATTAGCTTGAAACATCCACAGTGAGGTGGGAACCAAGATCTGAAAAGGCTCTGGTTCCTGTGCCTTTTGCGGCTAGAACTTTGGAAACCAGGAAAACAGCAAAAGCTCATCTTCTACTCTTGAATGTCTCCCTCCAAGTGATCAGGGCAGGAGATAGATTCAAAAGTGTGGAGGCTTGGTTACCAGAGTTCCAAGCCTTGTTGGGTTCTATCACCGAGGTCATGAGGTCATTTCTTCAAAATTCCATTACAGTTAGGATGAGGAAGGGGATGAATGTTAGGGTGAGGGAACAAGATGGCGTTTGGGTTGAGGTTTGTTGGGATGTAGTGGAGGTTTAACATGAGATTTGCACTGTGTTATGGCTGAGAATGAGAGATGAAGTGTTAGAAATTAGGTTCCAGGTTTTTGAAAAGTATTTCCTTCTTAGTACATCCTTGCAGTAGCTGTAGTTACACACAGTGGGGAGTAGGTGCACATTCACCGTAGAGTTGTTTTGTAATCCCCTTCCCTCTTCCTCTTCTAAATCCCTTTTGCTTGATTTCATTAATGTTATTAAACTCATCTCATGCATAAAACACACAGTGCTCACATTCACTTAGCAGATTAAATTCCTGCACATGGCATATCTTTATTCTCTTTATTTTCCGTTATGTGTAGATAGTACATTTTCTTTACACAGTCACCAGTGGATACACAGATGGCTTCCTTGATTTTGCTCTTAAGACCATGCTGCTATAAACCTTGGCTCTTTCTGTTACTCAGGATTTGGGTAGGGATTAGCATTGTAATTGAGTTTAGGGTTTGGGTTTAGGGAGATAAAGATCTAAGGGGGATGTGGGACATTTTCTTGTTATTGAGAATAAATAAGCAACAGTCCCAATTTATGAGGAGATGTTTATTTGAGCTAATGGTTTTTTAAGGGTTCAGTTTTGTTTGGGGGAATAAGTAAAGGAGGTGTATGGTGCAGAGTCAGCTTTGGGATTGGAATGAGGGCTAGCTTAGGCCCACGTTTAGGGCTACAGTAAGTGCTAAAGGTATTAAATATAGTGTTAGGGGCAGTGGTTAGTGGTTAGGATTAGATTTCAAAAACAGAGTTCGGGTTCAGATTAGGAATTAGGGCAGGTTTTAGTGATTAGTCTTGGGGATCAGTGTGAGTTTCCAGTTGGGAGTTAAGGTTAGGGTTACATTTATGATTAATACTGCAGGATACAGGTCCAGTTGGGATAATATCAGTGTCAGAGCTGGGGTCATATTTAGGGTTCAAGTTAGGGTTAAGGTAAAGTTTAGTGTTTAGGTTTTGACATTGGTTGAGTTTAATCTGTGTTTATAGAAGCAGAGTTAGGGATAGGATGAATGGTGGAGGACTATGGTTAGTTTTCATCTCTTTTGTTTTAGAGTGAGGGGTGGGATTAGGAATCAGAGTGGGTGATGTTGTCAGTGTTATTGTAGGGTATTGTCAGTGTTAGGGTAGGGGAGCATGAGTAATAGGTTTGGGGTTACTGCTCATTTATGCTTAGCTCATTGCTTAGTTTTAGTGTTATAGTCAGAGTCTTAGGGTTATAAAGTTAGGGTTAGTGTTATGTTAGAGTTAGGATTATTTTCTAATAGGATGAATCTTTGGGGAGGGTTAGTTCCTGATAATTGTTGGGTTATATATAGGGGTCGGTGTACTGGGAAGATGAGGTTTATGCAGAAAAAGAACAGATGTGAAAAACAACAACAACAACAAAATGAAACCATAAAAACAAAGAATTTTCCTGGATGTAAAGGATGTAGCATTCAGTTAAGGACATTATCCAACTGGATAGAAGAGCCATTCCAAGCCAAGTACTTTCTAAAAGAGATGAACTTCATATGTACATGAAAATTTAAAAACAGTAAATCAATGTGGAAACATTCCAAAAAGGAGTAAGAATCACAATGCAAATACCATAATTAGAAGTGCTGTAACGGCTGTATTGATATCAGTTGAAACAGAGTTAAAGAGAAAGACTGTGAGCATACGAAGTATTACATTTAGTAAAGAAGATCCACAGATATCAGTGGGTAAGATGTGCCACTTGATTCGAGGAAAAATGTGATATCATGTAGGAGAGCAACTCAATAAATGAAAAGCCTTTTTGGTAGCTAGATATTATTATGGAAAATGTCCTACATCTGTACTCCTGAGATAATATTGAAGCCTGCACAAATATTTTAGGAAAATATTCTTTTTGTCCTGTATGTTTTAAGAGTACTTTTGTACTGTATATAAAGGAAGCTCTAGAGGCAGAAATAGTTTACAGAATGAAAAGTACCATAATAATTTAAAGATGAAACGAGCAAAACTCTGAAAATTTAAACCTTTTTCAGAAATACACATTTGCAAAAAAATGAGGTATGAGCAGCAGTGTGCAGAAAATGGTAGTGGTGAGCTTTTCTGTTGTGTCTTCTAGGACTTGGGCAGTAAGGAAGGTGCTATTGTTAAGTGACTCAGAGAAGCAGATATCAAGGAAAACAGTAAAACATGAGTAAGCACAAGGTTTCCCATAGCAGGAGGAGAGAGCCCCCCACCTGCTGGAGAATCCAACCCTTTCAGTTGGTTCAATTTTATGAGTGGAATGAGGTTTTGGGAAAGTTATTTTCCACTTAGATCAAACCTTGAAAACTGCTAAGATGTAGTCTTAAAAATCTGTGAGAATTTAAAGAATGTGATGGATGCCTGTGCTTTAGAGGACATAATGAAATGGGAACTAATTCACCCCCGTGACCATCTCAGTGATGGCATCAGGAATTTGAGCACATTATCATTGGTATCCAAACCATATAGCATGATTTATTTGTTACACATTGCAGAACCTGCAATCAGGTAGCAGTGAGCCTGTGGAAAACCATCTGAGTTTACCTGATCATGGTTTTCCTTTAGATAAGGTGATGTTTGTTTAAGCCATTCAGATACAGTGATATTATCTATGATTGCAACTATGGGAGTGTCATGGTAGGGAAGTGAAATGTTCCATAAAACTAAAGGTTTTGTTGAGAGTCGATGGGGTTTTTGGAAAATGATCAGATAATCAAGGCAGCAAGAATAGGTGGATGTCATTATAGGCAGGTGATGGATAAAGGCAATAGCCTTATTGGGTCATGGGGGTGAACATGAGGCATATATGTGTTCCCCGAATTTTTCCTGTCTGACTCCTGGACTCTTCTTTGGTGCCTGGTTGCCATGCTGAGACACTTTCCTCTTCCTGGCCTTTTCTGCTCTTTCTGACTTCCTGCAGGTCTAAAGTGAGAAAAGGTAGGCCATGGACTGCAACCTGTGGATTGTGAACCAAAATAAGCTTTTTGTCTTTCAAATTGTTTATGTCAGGTTCTCACACAACTAGTGACATTTTAAAATCTAAGGAAATTTTATGCAATTTGTACTTGTGAAAAATAATAGCATTTTATTTTTTAACTTGAATTAGAAATATTATTACAGATATTTAATAGAGTGACACTCTATTTATATTTAGATTAATCTATCTTTTATTCATGTTAGCATTAAATTGTGTTTATACCTTTGAAAATGACTGTATGCATGTTTTTCAATGAATTCTAGTTTTATGCAGCTCACTCAGTTTTCTCATATAAGACATAACTATCACATGTAATTCTTGTTGATTTATGTTTTCATCAGTAAAATATTCTATAAATATGCAGAAATTTTTGCAAATCTTTCTAACATACTACCCAATATCTTATTTTTTCATTTTGTTTTGACCTTTTTGTTAATTCATTTAGCAATAAAATATTCTCTCATTTGGATGAATGCATAATAAACCTGTTAGAAGTTTTTATAATAGGGTTAGTTCTTCTTTAGTTCATCCATGTGTATACAGATCTGGGTTTGGGTTACTACTGAGGGCAGTAAATCGGTGTCACTGGAAACATTTAAATCAGAGCTAAACAACCAGGCCATTGGGATTTTATATGTAGAAGTAAATGAGGATTTTGTTCAGGGAGATTCTCAAAGATCCTTCTCCTGCCCACAGTTCTGGTGAATGTGATGGCTGTGTGGCTTCTCCAGGTGTCCATGCACTGTAGAAGAAGAGCTGAGCTTCCTAGGAATGCTGCGTTCCGCTTCTCCAAAGACCCCACTGTTCTGCTGTCATTCATCATATGCTATCAGGTGTTGGTTGGAGCTGGTTGGGCATTTATCCAGGTATTGGTGAGTAAGAGTGGTTTTGAGTGCTCCTTCTACTTGTGTAAAACATATAAACATAAATGTAGATCATGTAAACAATTAATTATCATATGTCAGGAGAGAGAAGAAAATGAATGACTCAGAGATCTCAAAGTGTAATACATTTTATGCACCAGTAGAAGATGTAAAACGTTCATTGCAGAGGGGCAGAAATATAAGAATAGGGAATGAAAAAGTAATTTTTAAAAGACCAAGGATAACTCAGCATTTATTATATTGTATAATTCATCTAGTTATTTAAATGCATTACATAAATTCATTCTCTCAGCAACTCTGAAAAGCCGCTATGCATCATTAACTCTTTCTTACATCTGAAAACAACACTGGATATGTAGTAAGTTCCATGAAGTCAACAGCCATTGAGTAGCAGACCTGGGTCTGACTTACAGGGTCCATTTCACTTTGTTGCCTTCTGCATATATTTGATTTGGTAAAAGGAAATTCAAATTTCATGCAATTTTCTTTTTCCCATTCTGTCTGTTATGGCCAGGGAAATAGCCTTTTAGTTTCTCTGATCTTTGAAGGCTTGGAAGTGAACAATGTAGATATTTCTTAGGTAATTCTGTTGCATAACTGAGCAGCTATAGCTCAACTCAGTCCACAATTAAGAGTCATGGATCCACTAGGGAGGGAAAGAGAAAGCACTGTACAACTCAGGGGTTACACAACAGGAGCATATGTGTGTGTCTTTTCATTGGTTGGATGAATATGTACTGAATTGCACGAGTGAGTGTAATCAGTGTAAACAAACAAAGTCAAACCCAGACAAAACAAAACGCAAGGAAACAGCATCTGCTCCCTAAACTTCCAGAGAGAAAAGGTGCATCTGCCTAAATTGGTTTATTGCTTGTTTTTTTCTTAGGGTTGCAGCCATTTGTCAAAGATATTCCCCTAAATCCAGGGATTTAAAAGTGGTGAAAGTCTTGTATCTTGGTTTGAATTTCCACATAGAATATAATCAATCACAGCAAAGAATGGGATCCCAGTAATACAAAACTTATCCCAGGAGTTTATTAAATACTTATATTAGCTACTGTTCAGTTCTTTCTCCTGCTGTGAATGTGCAGATCATTTCATACATTAGGGCAATCAGGAAACAGAATGAAGATAATTGCAGGGGGAAAATTATTGGAAGAATTTATTTCTGATAAAGAAATTATATCCATAATACACAAAGAAATTTAAAAACTCAATAATAAGAAAAGAAATCATGAAATCAAAATCCATTCTTTTTTTTTTTTGGTACTGTGATTAAACTCATGCCTGCATGCTTGCAAGGGCAGGCACTTATGCCATTGAGCTAAGTCCTAGGCCCGAAACCATGCAATCAAGAACAGGTTTGAGATATGTGGTGAAGGAGGTGTATGAGCACCAAGTAGATGCATTAAAGTTTCAGATGAACGTATACTCATAACTTCAAAGATATTCAATGCTTATCTCATGGCACTGATGCATTGCAGATTATCTCTAACCTCCTGGGAAAAACGATTTCATTTCCACAGTACATCACTCACTAAGGCCCTGCGATGAAATCCAAAGTCAGGGTTTGAGTAAGAGAAAAAAGAAAAAAACCTTAATATTTGCAGTTTTGTGTAGCTAATGTTCTTCCTGGCTGACATCTGAAGAAACGGCAGAATGTTGAGAAAGTGTGTAGGAACAATTGTGTGTAACAGAGTTATTTAACGGGGCCAGCAAAATATTTTTTTGGTGGAAATAAAAACATAAGAAAGCATTGCAGGTTTCTGTGGCTTGAGTTTTCAAGTCTATACGGAAGGAATAGGAGAGCCAGAGCATGTTTGACAGTGACAGAGAAATAGCATGCAGCTACTGACAAGCAAAAGAAAAACACACACACACATGATTTTCAGTTTGCAGTTGCCAGCGATGGATGAAGTGAGTGTTAAATGTCCATGAATCAAGGGATAAATTGCTGGTAAAAGGAACAGGAGAATGATGCACAGCTCAGGATTCTCTTTGAATCCCTCAGTCTGAATACAGTAACTTCCCTGATACTCTTTATGGTGAAATCTCAGAGAACAAAATGGAAGATAGCCAAAACTTACAGTTTATCCTTTTATCAAATTGTGATGACCACCGTGATCGTCAAGGGTATGAACAATGTCCATGTGTATTTGTGTGTGTACGGTGTGTGTGTGTGTGTGTGTGTGTGTGTGTGCGCAGGGTGTGTGTACATGTGTGTATTCTAGCACATGGATTTTATGAAATTCCTTTCCTCTTCATAAAATAGAATGAACCAAATGTTGAACGTGGCAAACATTTATCTTCTAGTGTTAGACTCCTGCTTGTCCTTCCTTCAGGTTATCTTCACCGTCAGGAGAAGGAACACACAGGCACAACTAGGAGACCCATGTCTACCTCTGCAAATGTAAGTTCAGTATTTTTTCTGCTTTGTGTTTGCCAGAAGACAGTTGGTGCTTACTTCCTATGCATGACTTTCTTTCCTTGTGACTGGGACAAAGCAGTTGACAGCAGAGAAGTGGTAAAGTTTGCTATGTTTCACAGTGTCAGTCCCTGGTGAGCTGGTTGCAAGCTAGAAACAGGGTAATGGAGGGCATCGTGGAAGAAAGGCTGCTCTCCTCATGAAGACCAGGAAGCAGGGGGAGAAGGGAGGAGCCAGAGAGAGACATCCATTCCCCCAGGTTCATGGGCCCAGTGGTCAGGCTCCTAGCTATAAGTATCTCTGTGATTTCCTCACATTCTAAAAGCCCAGCCTATAAGTGTAAGAGATGTTAAGAGGGTATTCCAGATCTCAACCATTATTATTCAAAGATTAACTAAAGTACAGGTTACATAGATGAAGTGACCATATTTGTGTGAATTTACTAGACTGTGTTAATTTGATACATGCATGTGGATAGCTATTAACTCAGCTGTGATAGCATATATATCAAAATACACCTTTATCATTCCTTTGCAGTATATAACTTGTAATCTCTTTCACTGTTTGATAAATGATATGGAATATGTGAAAAATAGTACTCAATTCCAATATTTGAACATTTTATTATTCTAATTTTATTGATTGAATTTATTTTTGTCTCTACTGCTAATTTTACTAGCTCCCTTTCTTAAATTCCGTGTGCTTCACAGTGCTAAAATACAATTCCATTTACTCTGAGGGTGTCACTTTACTTTTCACTTTTGTATTTTAGTTGGTTTTCTCTTATTCTTTCATATTGCATCAGTAAAGTGAGTTTTCCCCTTTAATAGGTGAATGCAATATGATTTTCTGAATTATTTTTAAAATATATATTAGGTAACATTATTATACATCTGAAATGTTAATTTCATATTCTACTCTGGCCTATTCCACTTCTCATCACTTCTCATTTTTATTCTCTGTGTCATTAATCTAGCGCATCCAGTATGTCCTATGATTCTGATACTATAACTTGTGATTCATCTTAAATTGAGAATTTCAGTTGAATTTTTTTCAGTTGTATTTCTAATAAGTCTATTTGTGCATTGACTTCTAGGAATTCTTAGTTTATTTTCCCTAATTCTCTTTTTCTACTGCAGCAGTGTATCATATGTTGCATAATGATTTCCTCTTGGAATCATTCAGTTCTCTATTGTATCTTATTTGACCTCATTAAATAATAAATTATTTGATTAATTCAGCTCCTTATTTGTATCATCTTTAATGTAATTGATTGTTTTCAGTATTCTGGTTTCAAATTCTTTGATATTTCAATTGTGATATCAGTAGAATTGGTTTTAGAGAACTGCAAATATTGGGAATCTGTTTTCTTGGCTTTCTGATGAATCTAGTGTGTGTGAGTTTATGTGTCTGTGAGAGACAGACAGAGAGAGAGACAGAGAGACAGAGAGAGAGACAGAGAGACAGAGACAGAGACAGAGACAGAGAAAGAATGTGTGTGAGTGTAATATGTTGAAGTTTGAGGATCACTGGGGTTGGAGAGTGAAAGACCTATTGTGCATAAACCTTTTGAGGAAGTGCCTTATTCATTGTGATGTTTCTTAGGCTGTCAGGGTCCCAGCAGGAAACAATGCAGTCAACCCTTTGTTCTCCAATTTGGCACTAGATTGAGCTCTTAGCACTGTTTCTGAGGACAGAGTAACCACCAAGTATATCGGTATCTGAAAAATAATCCATAAATTCACGTGTAATTTAAAACTTCTTTGAACTATTCTCCAAGTGTTTCATTCCTCAGGAACTGACAGAGGAAGTAATAATTTGGGACCTACTAGGGGAGCAGTAGGCTTTAATGAGAATATTCTTGTATAACAGAAATGAGGGATGGAGTATGTGAGAGACTATGAAAAGAGAAGGAACAAACAAGGGAAGTGAATTTGAATGAAATGTGAGAAAAACATAATGAGATTATCCCAGTGAATGAGCAAGCAGGTGCATGTGTCTGACAGGCTGGCAGGCAGAGGAAAGGGGTCTGTAGGCAGACAAAGGCCTCTTCAGGCTTCCTGGCTAATCCTGACAGGAGCCAGGTAAAGCTTTATTGGAGGGAACATTAAGAGTAAGGCGGGGCTGAAATACAGAGCAGTAGTTAGAGTCAAACTTGGGCAGATGCAGAAACCAGGCAGCCTGCCACTGAGAGAGCTCACCTTACTCTGAAAGCCTTCTCTTGTCACCGTCAAATACATATGAGAATAAATAATGTAATCATGTTGTTCAACTACATGCACTCTTGTTAGTGTTTATCTAACAGCATCATCAGCCATTTGAATAAGAGTTATAGTTGATATAGTAAACACCATTCATGAATATGTGAGCATTTACCCTAGGTATAGGAAGTTATGAAAAGTACTCCGTATAATACTGGAAATACACTCGCATGCACACACACACACACACACACACACACACACACACACACACACGTATCCACACAGAAAATGTGATACTTAGAATCCTGCAAGAGGATCAGCAATCCTACAAGTGGTACTTCAGATTAGGAAGTAATTGTGAACTTGAAAAAGAAACAACAAACCGCTAATGAGAAATAACATTAAGAAAAAGGAATGAACAGAAGTCTAGAGTAACTTCAGGACACTATGAAGTAATCTGAGAAAACTGAGCCATCAACAGTTAATACTGATTTCGCAATAAGAAACTGAAGAAGCCATTGGCTATGCAGTTCAAAGCATCCTGGGAAGGACAACTCTAGAAGAGTCCTCAGTATGTGCACAGAAGGAATACTAAATGCAAAAATTTTAAATTCAGTGTGAAAACACTGCATAATAATAACTTTAAAGTACTAAAGAAAACTTATAGTATTGCAATTATAACTTTCAGCCACATATAATAATAACATTTATGAGAAAATAAAGAATTGGGGAAGATTGATTTATATTATGCAAAGTTTCTCATGCAGGAGGTTGTTCAATAAGGGTTGACCTATATAGTCCATGTTTACTGTTTTCCATCACCTGAGTTCAATCTCCAACACCAAAAGAGAAGTTATTTCATATATCATTATGAATACATGAAGTTATTTCATATATTAAAGTGACCTTAATATATCATGAATTTTAAAATAAAAGGTCATTACTGCATGAAAAAAGCAAATATATCAAGAATAAAGATATCACCAAATCTTCAAAAAACTTAAAATGGAAAGTAAAATATAGTTTCCTGTTAATGAGTTTGATGATGAAAAAGCAAAATTCTTTAAAGGTACATTAGAAAAAGAGAGATAATAAGAGTAATTGCCTACTTCATAAGTGCAGTAATTTTATGAGAATTATTCATAGGAATGAAATATTAGTAGTAGTTTTTCCTTTGTAAAGCAAATTCTCACCTACCCTTCCCACTGGAATGATGGACAACAGATTGCATGCACTCTCTTTTCATGTGAAAGATGCTAATAAGAGTATTTAAGAAGAAAAAGATAGGGCATCCTGGGCACTGAATTACTTGCCCAAAGCAGGCAAATTGAAAATAACCTGAGCAATAGGATAAGTATGAAGCAGCAGGAAAACCAGCGACAGCCATCAACGCTGTTTTATGTCAGACGAGTCTATTTCTGAAAATTATATTGTGCTAGGAAAGCTGTTTGCTGGTGTGATTAGCCTGCCTGTAATCAGGCACCATCTGATAAGTGTTCTCTCCACTGACCTCTGTTTTAGTAAATGTAACGGCAGTATTACTTTCTACTCATTAATTATTCGGATGCAAAAACGTGTTCATAATTTGTTGCACAGCATTGTAGTTTTTTAAAAATCATATTGTATTTCATAGCACATTGACCTTACACCAAGAGAGACAGCATGATATCTTCAATTATTTCAGAAATAATTTCCATTTTGTGATATGTGTAGTGATATAAGAAATGAGTGGGCAAAAGGAAATAGTTCAGATGTTCCTTCTAGCCAGTAGATTGTATTATGCTTACTTTCTAACATGATATAAATGCTTTGTACCCTGTGTAATAAAGGACATAACATATACCTAATTTATTTAGAATTATAAAGTTTCCTGAATTTATATATTATTTGCAATATCAGATTCTATTGATGTGTTTCATACCCAAAACCAACAGCAAACTTCCAAACTCATACACATACATAAAAATGAATGTAAGAGTGCTGGGGTGTAGCTCAGGGGCACAAGTGCCTGCCTGTCAAGTGTGAGCTCTTGAGTTTGATTTCCAGTACCAAAAAAAAAAAAAATCATGTAAGGAAGAAATCACATGTAGTAAACATAACTGAAAAAAGACAACAGCATGTAAATGTATGAAACTGAAGACTTTTATGTTTTGAGAGATGAGCCCGAACATTTTAAATAATACATACATACATATTAAATTATTAATTAAATTGCAAAGAAAAACAACTAGAAATATGTACAAAGATAGCATTCATAAAATGTAGATACAAACAAATAATAAATGATAATTTTCTATAACATTCATGTAGAACAGTGTGTGATTTTGTCACTAACTCAGAAATATGAGCAATAAAATAGAATGTAAAATATACAAATGAATTCATCAAAAGTTTTGAATTAGTAAAAGACTGATAAACGTCAGTCCAAATAGAGTTTTTGTATTTTACTTTGGATATGCAAAGTACAAATATAAAGTGTATTCAATATTAAGACATACTAGCTTCCTAAACTTAACAGTTTAATTTAATTTAATATTTAACTAATATTTAACTAATTTAATATTTAACTTTATTTAGAATGCAAAGTGGATAACTTCTTTTTTTTTTTTTTTTTTTTTTTTTTTGTCTTTTTCCTTTTTATCGGTACCAGGGATCGAACTCAGACTGCCTGCTTCCAAGGCAGGTGCTTATGCCGCTGAGCTAAATCCCCAGCCCTGCAAAGTGGATAACTTCTTATCTTTTTTAAAACTTTGTAGGTTTTGTGTTTATACATTAACAAAA